TGTGGCACCTAGAGCATGTGAACAGAAAAAGATTCATAACTTTTGAAAGAAGAGTCATACGCACAAATCCTCTAGACTTTTTACTAGAACACTATCCTCTATCAATTGACATATATATCATTAAAAACGGAAGGCGACATGTGAAAACGTCCCTTCGTTAGTAGCAGATGTATATGATTTTGTTGATTTTTTTCATTCGATATGTGATTTTGACATGTCGCAGCTTTGACCACACTAAAAGCTGAAGTTACTAGCATGCAATTCTTGCGATCTGAAGTTTGGGATATTTCTGGTGTGCACTATAATTGAACTAATGAACAGAAGAGGAAAGCTCTTGGTTTTTTTAAAACATTCTGGCAAGAAGACCACCTTATGGAGATTCATAAAAATGAATGAATTTACATGAACAACGTCTGTTTCAATATTATCGTTGTACCTTTCATAGCTTTATACGAACATAATGAACAATAATGCTTCTAGCCACAACTTCAACATATCAACAAAAGCCATTATCTTACATGTGAAGCCGAAGGAAATACAAGTCATCTAGTCAATTGTACTAGATTAGACTATGTTGCTGCATATATCTCAAATAAAAAAGGCTGAATTCATCGTCAGATTGACTTAAGGCGTAAGTTTTGTCATCATTATGTTTCTGATATAGTAGTACAATCAACTTAATTTTAAACAGTTTTCTCTTATGACTAGTCAAGCACTGTTGTTGGTCCGTAAAACGATGGATCATGAACGTCTACCATCCTTTTTTAACTTTTATCTTTTTAAGCAATGTGGTAGGTTAGGTTAGTTTTTCCTCATTAGCTAAGCACATTATCATTGTTCAGGTGAGATTACAAACTTGATATTATTCTCTAGTAAAAACATTTGAGCTTTTGTTGTTTCTGTTATACATTTAAAGTAAACGTTATCTTTTGTATGACACATCATACTCACACGGTGATTATAGAAGAGTAATATGATATTAAATATACGCACGATATAGAACAAGAATGAATAGCGTTTTATTCTTCTCTTTCTTCTCGTTTTTTTTTCACTTGTTAATATTTCAATCAGAACACAATGACAGGTAAAAGAAAATGAAATTTAATACAACGATTCTTCTCTTCACTGATAACACGTGCTGTGGTCTTTAGACAAGTACCTTCATGCCATTTGTTCTCAAGAGAAATATCCCCCAGTGATACTCGAACCTAAAACAAAAGGAAGATAAGATATAGTATTAGGGAAAATTGGCGATTGAGAGAGCAATAGTTGGATGGTAGTGAGTAATTAGGCGCTATTTTCAGTTAAACGTGCACATTCGGTTCCATAGGGCATCAGCAGGAAATAAAAATTGCTAAGAGATGTTTATCCTTAATTCTTCTTTTTCTTCATCATTCTTAAAATAAAAGTACGAATCGCCCTCTGAAAATAACTGTTAAAAATTGAGAAGAAAGTCAAAAGTTGCTAAACTCATATTACTCGACTGATATTATTCGAAAGTTATATATAAGAACATTTAATTATTTTAACAAATGATTTTGCATAAAAATGCTACTATCCTGATGAACATGTACTGAATATTGCATCCTATAAAATAAAAAGATCTTCTAATGAAAATGTATAACTAGAAACAGTCTATCTCAAACTCTAAAGTACGAATTAGAAATGATGAAAAGGTGAATTCCGGATCATTTTACAGACTCAGCAACATATTGCATAGGCCGGGAGAGGCAACTCCACCTCCGAAGTTGAGAATTTTCTCAGAGGAGTTGAAATTGAGTTGATTCTAAGTTTTCCTCAACTCCTATTCCGTAACTCCTACTTGAAGCTGTCGTGACTGCGAAAATTTTCACTTTTTTGAATTATTGAAATGATTTTTTTTTGTGAATAGTCATATTTCAACAAAATAAAGAGGTGGTAATAAAATAGACAGTAAAGAAGTTAAAAGACTTATGCGAAGGTAAACTTTCGTAAATTCGGAATGGGAGTTGGGTTTCTCAGAGTTGAAGTTAAGGGTGGTCGGAGTTATCCCATCTTTGAAAGGGAATAAAAAAGAAAGAGTTCATCAGGAGTTTATTGCTTTTATCAATTAGAGTAATAATCAAAACAGAAATATTAAAAACATTCTCGATATCCTCGAAAGCTTAAATTGCTTCCTCGAAGTGCCATTTTCCGATGGATGTGACAGTTACATTTTGAACCGTCGATTCACTCATCGAAAATCTGGATTGCGAGAGTATCGCTATATTTTCATAGATATAGCTGATTTTAAGGGACACCTATGATTTAAGAAGAAACAAAAGGACACCAATAGCTGCAGAATTATAAAATTTGTTACAATATCCTATTTTATAAAGATGATTCTTTCTTTGTTTATATACCTATTGTAAATTTAGACAACAAACACCATTTGGAACGACATACCTCGCATTCTCAGTCTGTACGTATTCAACTTTTAGTATCTGATTGATGGGAGGTTCGGCCGTTGCAAACTGATAAAAAACCTGTATACCAAAACCTTTTGTCAAATAAATGGCTGCTAAATAAATAAAGAAGAGAAAAGTTGATTTGATTCGGGCCCTAAAAAGGTTCGCTGTAGGTTTTCGATCATAAAGATTCGAATGCGCATATGCTCATATGTCATACGGGGGTATGTATGTGTGACAGTTTTTTTCAGAATGCCATCTTTTCAACCTATAACGTATGCAATGTACAGATTTCCACAGAACTTTCAGAAAACTTCGTGAAAAACAACTAAAATAAGGTTCTAAACAAATAAAAATTAGTACATACGACAGAAGATCATTTACAAGTACAGTGTGTTCTTACAGAGGATCAAACTGGTCAGTAGTAGAGGTCTAACAGTGCTACTTCTCAGATTTATGAAAAGCGGTGATCAGTTTCAGTTTACTACAAACCAAAGGTTGAACCGATTCAAAAGAACAAAACTGGTATTATTACACTCCTGATCAATAGGAAGATACTCTCACACACGTTCACTCACTTCATCAAGATTTGTATACGTTCCATAAAAAATTAAAGTTTTTTTTAAAGCACATTTATTTATCCGGCACCTAAAATCTGCAAAGTTGCTCAGTCAAAGCAAAACGTCAACGTTTCGGTGTATCTTTACGCCAGACACTACTTTAATATTCCTGTAAAAGCCACTAAGTTTCGTGTCTGTTAGGACGAGTTCTTAATGATGAGTTTTTCGAAAATTCTTGCCGAAAATCTGATTTAATACGCTAGAGTAAAACAAATTTGATCTCAGATTGTTTGGTATGAGAGATCGTTCACTGTTTGGTACTCTTCCAATAGTTATACGGAAGTCTACGTAGCAGTAATGAGTGTCAATTTTTTTATACAAAATTATGGCAAAAAACTAAATTTGTGGTCGAACTCATACAAAGTTTTTCGCTCGTTTCAATCAACAATGTTAGAAAAATTCAGATTTAATGATGATATCAATCTTTCGATACTCAGGATTGTTGAAAACAGGTAAAATTGTCTATTGCGAGCTAATGCCCTAGTAATAAAGTTTTCGTACAGATGTATACAGTACAGAAACGTAGACACATTATGTAGAAAAAAATGATTATCTATTTCGAGCAGATGATAATTATAAATTACTCTCTGACCTTTACTATGCGACGTACTGATACTTCGTTATAGTGCTGATGATATAGTAATCTATAAAATAGTTTTTAATTATGTATTATTTGTAGGATATTGATTATGCAGCTGCCGAAATACTCGCATTTAATTCAGGTCGCTATGTTCGATTTGATCAAGAGAAACCTGTTCTCAAGTTTGTGTTGTTTTTAATCACATTTTGTATTTAAATTTATTACAATCTTTTTGCCTTTAGATTGTACAAATTTTATTATTCTAATTTATGGCAAGGAATTATACTTGTCGCCGATTTACTTCTACTCATTTTACCATGTATTGAAGATCCACCTTTTTTCAAAAATGTTCATATTGCAGTACGTACATTCTTCTTTTTTTCTGATTTGACTAATTTAACATTATTATTATTCTGTAGGTAGTGATTACGTTAGAATGTATATCATTGACCATTATGTTTATCGCCTTTATATTATCGATGTATCAACAAAATAGGGGTATACTACTTAAAGAAGCTGTTTATCCTTATGTATTCTGCGTCGTATTTCTTGTAAGTAAAATGAATATAAATTCAAATGATAATGAATATTTGTATTTTATAGTTAAATGTCATAGATATGATTACCTTCTATACATTAAAATTACATGGTAAATCATTTGTTAGATGGTCAAGACCATTGAGAGTGCTGTATCCATTCGCACTGCAAACAGGACAAAATGTAAGCTGTTTTAATATTTATTATCCCAGAGCAATTAAAGCATATTCTAGACAAAATCTTATACTCTTTCCATCTATATCCTATCTAGGATTATAAAATTGAAAAAATTCTAAGAAGTATTAGATTTTTATATCCTACTGAATTTCACTTAGGCACAGTGGGTGGGATTCATGTGTGACATTTAGCAGGAAAACGAAAGTGTTTATTTTTCATTTTTTTGTTTGCAGATAAGAAAGTTCACATTAAAGACTATCTCTCGTCAAAAAAAATAATTTCTAATAATGAGAAAACTCAGCTGAAAAAATATCATCAAAATCCATAGATATGAGTGAATTTCAGTTTTTGATATGAAAAATCGATATTAAAAGACAAAAAAAATAAATCAAGTCCGCTTTTTGGCTTACATGATAAAAAATAATTTTTGATTTCATTGTCAAATAATCAAAGGAAAAAAATTATTTTTCTAAGTAAATGATTTTCCAAAAAAAAGAACAATAGTGCAATGAGTTTCCCTGTTTTTCCTCAGCTTCAATCTTACTCGAACTTTGTACATATCTTCTTCAACGTATAAAGCATCTAAAAAATTAGCATACCGATGCATATTTGTTTCGTTTCTGGGATACAGATTTTTTTTATAAAACTATGGGTTTTGGCGTAAACTACACTAAATACATTTTGACAGCAAAACAAATGTGATATTTGGAATCAGCTAGTTGAGCTGCATCAGATCATGTACAACACAATCAGTTTTGGATCGAGAACCAACACATCTATCGAGATGTTTTTCCATGAATCTGCAAGACCAATTTTCCACTAGTAAAAAGCTGGGATATCCTGCGATAACTCGCGAGAAAAATAATAATCCTGCTAGCTTTTTCTAGTAGTTGAGAGTGAAAAAATTTCTGCGAGCTCTTCTAAAACATTCGAAAATTTTTCTCTTTGTGATCTGTCGTGAAGATAATCTTCTTTTGTGATGCATGAAAAACCACGAAGAATCAATTTGCCCTCATGAGAATCACGATTGAATTTCTCGTCAGATCATGCGGGTGAATTTGCATATGTAATTTATGGCAAAAGGTCAAGATTCTTTTGTTTACCGCTAGTTCTCGCGAAAAAAGATCACGATTTATAAATGCCGATTTCACAGTAAGAATTTTTCCAATAACCGGCGACCAGCACAATTTTGCATACTGAAGACAACTCTAAGAAAAAACACCTAGGGTGAAAAACAATTTTATCTTTCACAAAGTATAGGTCAAAACTAACAACTCTTTCCACTATTATATAGATTATGTATCTACAGTACTAGACATAATTATAGAAATGATTTGTTTTTAAGTGTTTTTGCTCAACTTTAGTAGAAAAGACAAATCCGAAAAGTGGTTTCAATAGCTGAAAAAATATTCGGTAAGATGGGATCCATATGAAAATGCCATTAAAATTCCTCAAAAACCAGGGCTCTGAAAACCAAGATTTTAGAAAACTACAAAAGCCAAGTGGCAGGATTTTAATGGAAACTTTTTGTGAGTAACTCAGTCGTGTAGAAGAAACATTTCTGTGTAAAACTAGGCGTCATCGAGCTCTCCACGATGTTTGTTCATCGACATTGATGAAATGATCCCGATGCCGTTATTAAATTGAGTGCAATTCGAAGAAAAAATCTCGTGGAGAGCTCGATGACGTCTAGTTTTACACAGAAATGTTAGGATCCAGCTTTTCTGATGTGTATGATCACCCTTTATTTAGAAACAAAAAACTTATTCTTTAACAATAAAGCTCGATCTATTTATACGCGCAATAACCTTCACTATACTCTACGTAATAACCTTGAATATTCTTGAATATATTCTTGCACAATAACTTAGACTGTATGCTTGCGCAAGAACCTTGACGATGATCTTCTCTTTTATGGCACGACTCTAGTACATGACATAACAAGAAATGTTTCCTCTACACGGCTGAGTTACTCACAAAAAGTTTCCATTGAAATCCTGGAACTTGACTTTTGCAGTTTTCTATAAAATTTTGGTTTTTCAGGAACCTGGTTTTCAGGAATTTCAATGGCATTTTCATATGGACCCCATCTTACCGAATATTTTTCCAGCTATTGAAACCACTTTTCGGATTTATTTTGGCTATTACAGTCGAGCAAAAACATTTAAAACCAAAGCGTTTCTATAATTTTGTCCAGTGCTGTTGATTCATAATCGATATCGCTTTTATTTTAAATCTCATCCCCTTTATTAAAAAAGTTTTTACCTCATGCCTGTGTTATCAGATTTAACTTTTTTCTATCTATTCTTCCATGATCCTTAGCACTAGACACACAACTTTGTATGCCATTAAATAGTCCATAGATTGAAGTGCATATTCCACTATTTAAATCCGCATATAGCACACTCTTGATTTTTCACTTAATGTCCGCCTGGACCCTAGTAAGAAACCTATACATTTCTCGATAGGATCTTAGAGAAATCCTATCCAAATTCTCCCAGAGATTAGTTTACTTTTAGATAGGATCCTAATAACATCTTATAGAATCGTAATGGAATCCGAGATACCAGAAAGTCGTAGGATTAGCTAGAATTCTGTTAAGATCCGAATAAGACTGTAACAAGAAAATGCAACGATTGAGCGTTAGTCAAAATCCTACGCATGTCCTATCTATTTCCTACAAATTAATATTCTAACTTTAAGATCCTATAAGATCGTAGTAGGAAAGAGCTAGGAATTGTGTAGGATTTTGTCTAGGGAATGTCCGACATGGATCAACGGTATAAATTGTAACGCCGCGAACTATGGCGATCTTTAGATTCGACAACCGAAATTTTACTTGTAGCAATTTCCAGTTTATTTTAGTAGTTTATTTAATCTTTCTCTATCAATCTTTTTGTAAGTTTTTCTTTAAAAGTGACAGAGATAACTAAGCGATGATAATTATTCATGAAATATGCACATGTCTAGGATCTTGTCCGAAGAATTCCTAGATCTCTACTAGGGTACCGAATACTTTTTAGATTCGTCGTATAATTCGAAATATTCTACGAACATTACCTAATATTGCCAATGTTCTATTCTTATTTTTACTTAGTATACTCTCATTTACACTTGTGGGAGTGGGAATTATTAGAAAAAAGTAAGACTATCATTTGTTTACTGTACGATAGAAAGTGATGTTATTTTTGTGTACTAGGGGATTACGCTACCCAGATGGAAGTCTATATTTTATTGATTACTTTGATACAGCCTGGGATTTATATGTTCTAACGACAACAGCCAATAATCCAGATGTCATGTAAGTATTTGAGAAATCAAAGTAAATTATAGTACATTCTAAAAATGTCTTTACTTAGGATGCCAGCATTTAATGAAAGTATATTATATTGTCTATTCTTCATTGGATTTTTATTGGTAAATTTGTATTTATTTATGAATTTACTATTGGCTGTTACATTTTCAAATTATAAACAACATCTACAGGTATTTTATAGTCAATCAATTATTTTATTTCTTATTAACATACGATGCTGCAAAAGTCTTTGCAAAAATGTCGAGCATTATTCCTGCGTGTTCTTGCTGCACTGACGATTTAATTACTTTTCCGTTGGAAAGAGTAAAGTCTAAACTTCAAAGAACAAACAAAACGAAATTTTTCGTAATTGAGTTTGAGTGAGAAAAAATCTGAATACGATAGATCACCTAAAAGCTCTTGCAACATCTCTCTTCAAATGTATCCCTCTTAACAAAAGCATTTTTTCACTATAACAGACTATGTTTGAAACTATGTAATTAGAGAAACTAGAAGTGTTTTTATTGCTCTTTCGAATGCGATGCGATAAATTATATTTCGATCTATTTTTCAAGTAGAAATTCATAAGTTTTTCATTTGTTTCAGAAAAAGAGTTAATTAGACCTAAGAGGGGGGACCCCTCATCCAGATTTTCCCCTCAGTTTGTAGAGCACGCTTTGAAACCTAATAAATTAATATTTTTTTTTATTTCTTGGAGTTCAAGCTTTTTCAGAAAAAATTTTGAAGTTACTTAGTGGTTTTTGTCCATTTTTTAAAATTTCTATAGAATTTTTTTTTAGATGGAACGCTAATTCTTGCGTCAATCGCTTGGGTACACCGAGGTGTACAAAGGAAAAATTTTCTCTGCTTTCTGACGAAAGTTTGATTGAGATATTTAAGTTTGACTTAACTGATTTACTTTCGGAGCAAAAAGTATTTCTGAAAAATCTTGAGCACGATTTCGCATCAGAGAAGTATTTTGGAACAAAAGTTTCCGTACAAATGTTGTTCAGAATCAAATTTTATACCGAATGATCCCAAAACATTGTTTTTGATAGTCGAATTTTCCGTAAATTTCGATTTAAAAATTAAGTTTTCAAAATTTCTTCCGCTCATCCGGTGTAAAACTTGATTCTGAACAACATTTGTAACGAAACTTTTGTTCTAAGATTTTTCAGAAATACTCTTTGCTCCGAAAGTGAATCAGCTAAGTCAAACTCAAATATCTCAATCAAACTTCGTCAGAAAACAGAGGAAATCTTTTCCTTTGTACATCTCGATGTGGCCAAGCGACGCAAGAATTAGCGTTCCATCTCAAAAAATAAAAATTCTATAGAAATGGACAGAAAACCACGAAGTAACATCAAAACTTTTTTCCGAAAAGATTTTAATTTATTTATTAGGTTTCAAAGTGTGCTCTACAAACTGAACGAAAAATCTGGATGAGGGAACCTACCCTTAATCAACAATTTTCATATAGTAAATGAACTTTGTTCTTTTGCTAAAACACATTTTCTGAAACAACATTTAACCCTTTCGCGCCGGGTGTCCCATATATGGGACGGCTAGATTTTTCATTATATGTCCGTATTAATATGACTTCAAGTACAATTTTACACAAGTGTTTGAGGAGTCCTGTGTATTACAAGGATAGAAAGACCGATGGTGATGATGATTTTACAATAAATATATATTTCTATGCGAAGCATTTCATACTTCGTTTCCTCTGTCGAAAAGAATTGAAAGCAGTAGCTTGTTAAATCTGTAGGGCTTGTATTTGTGCGTTTTACCTCCAGTTCTCTCCTCCATTAGTATCAAAGTATATCGCTCTCACACACGTATTCTATTCACATTTTCTTTTGTTTTGTTTACACGCATGATATTGCATAACTCGTTTTTCTCCCGCTAGTATATTCGAACGATGTCATTTTTCTCTCACGCTCTGTTCTTTGCAATGATGATACGTGATTTATCTCTAATGTTTTCTAGAAAGCTCTCTTTCCTTCCATGCTTCTGAATATATATATATATACGTATATACATCTATTGAATTCGGCGCTCAAAAACTGGACAATCGAGGCAGACCATCAATTGAGACTCCTGTCCGCATAACAGCACGACATTTTCCATCAAAAGTGGAAAGCTCGAATGACGGGCGAAGGCGCTGCTTTGTCTGCAGTCACACAACTCGTGGTCCAAAGCAGGAAACAGAAAATCAGCTACGAATGTAAAGAATGCAATGTTGGCTTATGTGTAGTGCCGTGTTTCGAAGCCTATCACACGCTGAAACGTTTTTAATAAAAATTATATTGTAAAGAGCGGAGGTCATTGAGTTACGGACTTTTCAGAGATTGAGAAAGCTATTTTTCCTCCCAGACGGACGAGCTTTTCACAAACTGTAAGAAAAAACATTTTTCCATTAGACACGGACACATTTCTTACTGAAAAAAAACCCGGTGCGAAAGGGTTAATCTATCTATATATATAAAGAAGAAAGTTTGTTTGTATGTTTGTTTGTTCTCTATGCATTCAGTCCCTGTAAGAGCTAAAGCAGCCAAAATTTGCATGGCACACCCTTGGGTCCAGGGGAAGGTCAA